GTGTGCGGTTTTTTAGGTCGGGAGAAAAATAGGATAGCTCACTCGGTAGCTAGAAAAACTCTCTATTTGTATCCGGCTGAAAATCGCTTCTTCGATTTCCGGGCCTAATTGATTTCCAGGATGTAACTATCTATTTGTTTGGATTAATATATATTATCTTTTGACAACAAAAAAAAAATTTCGGATCCGTGTGTCGTGACTCGTGAGGGCTCATCCCACGTGGTTGGGCGGGAATTTCCCTCACTAGTCTCTCAACACCTGTGAAGAAAAAGATTTGGCTCCATGGGAGTGGTGGTGACTGAAGCAGATTGAGATGGTTGTTCAAGTACTATGGAGTGTGATCTGTCTCAAGCAAGTCCTCTGCAGTAACATATGTTCCATTTTAGTCCTCCACAAATGTTTTCTTTCCAATGAAATTCTTGGGCATTTGGTCGGTTCAGTCAAACCGAACGTAACTCGAATAAAACCGATCTTAAATGCTTTTGCTTTTTTGAGTCGAACTATCACCAAATTCTATTCAATTCGGTTTATTGTTAATCATAATAAAATTGGTTAGGGATGGGTTTGACCGAACTGTCGAACCATAAACATACAGTTAATCAATCTTCGGGAGAGGAGACATGCAAGTCATTGGAGGAGAATCAATATAGATGGAATCATTTTACCTCACAAATAATGTTCAATTGTTAATGATCATCCTTCGTGTGTAGTATAATATCTATTATATTGAACCTCTCTCAACAACTCGAGTTATTAGGACTAACTGGTTTTTTTTTTCACATGGTATCAGAGCATTTTGTGATTGAAAAGTCTTTTGTTCAGGTCCCGGTAACCATCATTGGTAAGCACATGTTATATGAAGTTTGCGCAAACTCCAAGCCTCATGTGTATGATTTCGTTTGAGGGAATGTATTAGCATGTGGTATAAGATTCATTATTAAATCTCCCCCAACAATTCGAATTATTGGTACTAACTGGTTCTTGACAATTACCACCTCAAATCAATAAGTGTTGTATTTTGTGAAGGGCCATACGCATCCTATACATACCCTCACTCAACGCTCTAAGTGGTGTCCCATAATTACCCATTAAATCTAGGGCTGATAAAAGGTTAGTCCGTTATTGCTTTTAACCGATAACAACATTTAGTGGTTAACTTATAATTGTTAGTGGTTTGGTTTAGGTTAGCTATATTTGCCTATTAGTTAACAATAACCGCCCACTAGTATAACCACATTGTTTTGGGATTTAGCTAAGGAAAAAATTTTCAATTTCCACCTATTGCAGATAACTCTCCATCGAAACAGTCAAATGTGTTAAAGAGTTAAAGCTCCAAAGTCAACCCTCTCAGACCCCCTAGTCAACAGAGGGGACCTTCAGATAGGGCTGGCTATTAGGTTCGGGCTTTTTGGTTTTACTCAAAACCGGACCGTATAACCCGGACCAAAACCGGACCGAGACCGGATAGCAAACAATCTAATCCAATCTTCGGGCCTAGATTTGAGGTAAAAATCCATTTGGGACCGACCGAAAACCGGTAAAGACCGGATAAGAGAGCCCAACACTCAAAATTTAACCTCCTCACCCTTTCAGACCTTAGGCCACTCAAATCCCCCCCTCAGGCAACGAAAATCCTCACAAGCTCAATCTAAAATCAAGACCGAATTGGGACCGGACCGGTTCAAGACCGGACTTTATCCAATCCAATCTTTGGTCCTTATATTCCCGAAAAGACCGGACCGAGACCGGATCAAATCGGTTCAATTTAACCGGACCGGACAGTATAGCCACCCCTACCTTCAGACCCTAGTAGGTTTTATTTCTTTGATATTTGTGAATGATGACAATCTTGGACTTGCGGTATGCGGCTTGCAAGATCTCAAAAAGTTTGCGGCTTGCAAGATCTCAAAAAGTTTGCGGCCTCCATTTTTTGAATCCGAATAAATTTTTGAGCTCTTGCAAGCCGCAAACTGCCGGGTCCGCCTTCATCGCGAAAAAACGTCATTTGCCACCCCGAACGAGCCTTTTTTTTATTTCGTCAAACTTTGGGTGGCCATAACTTTGTGCTCCAAAATCCTAATGTCATGATTTTTTTTTGATTCCACATAACTTTTCAAGATCTACAACTTTTAATATAATCATAATTTCAAAATGTACATGGATTTGTGAAAAGTAAAGGTAAAGTTATTCCCAAGGTCCTGTATATCCACAAATAGTTCCTGTTTTGAAAATTTCATCCTTGTAAAAGTTGTAGATCTTAAAAAGTTATGCGAAATGGAAAAAAAAATCGCTACGATCGGATACCCGAGTATAAAATTACGTTCGTTTGAAGTTTCGGCCGAAGTTAGGAGTTGATCGGAAAAAAAAATTGGACCAAACCGCTGGGTGGGGTGGCGGTTTTGGGTCAAACCGCCACCCCACCCAGCAGTTTTGTCCAAATTTTTTTTTTATAACCGCCCTCTAGGCACGCGGTTTGCATAGAAAACCGCGCCCCCGGCAAACGGTTTTCGTGTAAACCGCAGGGTGGGGTGGCGGTTTTTGAAAAAGGGTGGTATTTTTGGAATTTTTTGGGGTTGGGTGGTATTTTTGGAAAAAAAAAAATTTAACTGTGGTACTTTTGGATTTTTTCCGAAAATCTTGTGATGTTTGTGTTTGATGTCTTGCTAGTTGGTACTTGGTAAATGGAAGATTTTTTTTTATTTGACGTGTCATAATTTGGATTATGCAATCAAGATAGATGTTGTACTGTCATTTTTTATACTTTATGTTAAAAATATATAAGTCGTTAAACTTTTTGAATTATTTTTATGATTATATTTTATGATTCAAAAAGTCACTTTTAAACTAAAAATTAACAAAAGAAAAATGCTACATCCTAAGGTTGTAATTTACTATTGATTAACAACCAAGCTAACCGCTAATAGAATCAATAATAGATCATTAGTGATAAAACTTATTTGCAAATCTTTTTTTTTTGTTAGCGGTTAATGAACACCATATCAAGTTACAACTAGGGGTGGGCATTGGTGCGACCCGAACCGCACCGTGTTGATAAAAACCGCATCGCACCGTAAAGTAATTGGACCGCACCGCAAAGAAGACCGCAAGTTAATTGGTACGGTCCAACCGATCCGCATTAGTTAGCGACTTGGTGCGGTTTGGACCGCAACTGCAACTAAAACCGCAAAAGTTTAAAAACCTCGATCTTTGTCTTCTACGCTTGAAAATTCACATTTATGGGATACATGTAAACTATTATATATGGCTATAAGAGAAGTACCAAAAGTACTTTTTAACTACAAAAGCCAATGCAAGAATATCAAACAGTAGACAACAAAACTACTTTGGTTTATGCACTCCACAAAGTAACTGGACCTTCAGTTCTCTCACTTAACTAAGTTCCAAAAAAATAAAAATAAAAACTGCAGCTTCTTCTTCTTTTCCTCAACTCAGGCCGCAAAAATAACCCCCTGCACCTGCAAAAATTGAAAATTAAACCAAGTTAAGTTTAGGACACAACAACACAGTGAGCATCTTGAATAAGTCATAAAGCTCAAATACCCACAACCCTTGATGCATCACCAAAAGCAACCTTGAATGCGAACCCAGTAGAGGAAAATGATGAGAATCACAAAGCAAAATGCAGTAGCCATGGAAGCAAAACAAATAATATCTACCAAAAACACATTTGAGTTTTAAAATTATACTGACCAAACTGAACATAGCCATGCCAGCCTTGCATCTGACAGAATCGAAATGGATTTGCTATTATAGCAGGCATTGTTACATACCACTTGCAACCCAAAACCAAAACCCCACCACCTCCATTAGTAACCTAATCAATCTATCATCGATCACACCATTAGTAACCCAGTCAATCTGATACAGTAGCCATGGAAGCAAAACATATAGACACACCAAACCGCGTACTATCTAAAATTTCGTTGCCATGAAGCTTAATTGGTAATCCTCATTGTTTAAAACCATCCAACTCTTCAACAAATTGTATAAATTCCCAACTTCAGGAAGAAACAAGGTGGAGGTTATGTATTGTGAACCAGAAACTTTTAAAGTAAAGTGATAAAACTGCTCCAAAAATTTCATCATTCTTCTAGCACTCTCCCAATTATATATATCAGGTATTCCACTCTTAGCTTCAATATCATTTTAAACTGCTTATCTGGCAATCGATAAAGATCAAAAGCATGCTCATACTTCATAGCAGATTGCAACATAAAAAAAAGTCGAGTTCCACCTCGTTGGAACATCAAGACACAAGCCAATTTTGCTTGTATTATCAAGAGCAACAAAATTATTGAACTTATGAATTCGAACAGGTGATTGCTAATAAATCTCACAGCCTCCCTGATTCTCTTGACGCTACAGATATCTCAAACAATCCATCCATCACAGCAAGGTTCATTATATGGGCAACACACCTTACGTGAAGGAATTTTCCACCACACATGCTAATCTTTCTATCATCAAAAATACTTTTCAATTCTTCTATTGCAGTGTCATTCGAGCTAGCATTGTCAACCGTGATTACGAAAATCTTATCTATCCCCCATTCATCCAAACAAGACATAACTGCACTTGTAATATCCACCCCCTTATGACTATTTGGCGAAAACCAATTATCCTTTTTCTTAATATCCAGTTTCTGTCAATAAAATGGGTTGTTACACACGTGAAATTCAATTGCTTGTTGGAAGTCCATGAATGAATCTATAGTCAAGCAAAGTCTACATTCACATTTGCTAAAGACATTCTTTAACTTTTGCTTCAACTCAAGATAAAAATCCCAACAATCCCTAGTCACAGTCCTTCTAGAAGGTATGCAGAATCTAGGACAAGTAAGTGACATAAAATATTTGAAACCTGAGTATTCAACAAACCTAAAAGGTAACTCATCCACAATAATCATATAAGCCAATCATTTCCTTACAACGACTTGGTCAAACTTCCAGCTCCCTAACACTACTTCATCACTCTCTCCTAATCCAACTCTAATTGTATTCAACAGTTGTTGAGCAGTACCTTTTCTATCACCGCATGGTTTTTCCATATGTCTGAGAAGCGCACTTGTTCCATTTCTACGCGATTTAGATTCATAAGTCTTCCCGCATTTGATACATGATGCCTTGAATCTTTCATCCTTCGCATGCCTCTTGAATTGAACCCGTACTTTTTATGTAAGCTTCCTGCCTTTTGCCTTCGGTGACTTAATTTGAGTTGCAGTTGAACCAATATCAGCGGTACCCACACTACTTGTACTTGCATCCACTTCAACTTCCATATCTTCCCCACTTAATGACTCCATTGCAACATCATCATATTCAACCTAAACAATGATAAAGTAAATGAGAACCTGGCATAATTATTGTTGGGAAGTTAATTGAGCATATAACAACACAGTATCAGCAGCAACAACAATAATTATCATGTATCTTTTACCATAGTTTATCTCATTAGTTTGGGCTAGCTAGTTCTAATTAGTCATTACTTAATAGAGCTATATTGATCACATTTGTGAGGTAATTAACAGAGCAGGTAAGCAGTGGAGGATGCGATGTAGCAGGGTTGTTTTATGTAGCTAGGGTTCTTTCCGGATCAGTTTAACATGGAGGGATCAAATGCTACAGTTTGTCTATGGATCAGATCAACAACCAAAGAAGGAAATAAGAGCAGCAAACAACTAGCAGAATAGAGCACAACTCGGTACAACAAAGCTAAGTTAAGCAAAGGGAAAAGCTGTGGGATCATATCACTCAGCCTTTCACTTCTCTCCATATGAGTATTTTCCTTCTCTATTTATTTTATTTCAAATTCATTCCTGCCAATGGATGAATCACAGCCTTCAGAACCCCAATACATGTCATTAATTAGACTGAATTTTCAAGCATTCATTGTTGCTGCCTAACCAATACCAACAACTACAGCAAATGAACTTCTCTCAAATTGGACCCTGAATTGAAAGAACCAACAAAAAAACTCCATAAAACTCCACATCAAATCCAGCTTAAACATGCATCGTAGGTCCACTAAGAATGTAACCTTAGTCAAGAAACTCACGTCACTAGATACCGATGCTAGAGCTCGTTTTCCCTACGAGCTTTTTGATTTCATTTTGCTAATAATAGTATCTTCTTTTTCACAGATTCATTACAACCCTATAAGCAGATGAAAAAACATACTTAGAAATAAAGTGACTACCATCTCCACCCTATATCAGCAGTTTTTTCACTCTTGAACAAATTGACTAATAGTTTTAGCTATCGGTTTCTTGCTAGCTAGCTACTTCGGATTATTAATTAGAAGCACCCTTCTCCAACTCATCGATAAAATGGGATCACATCACATGATTGATATAACTATCAACCAGAAAACTTTGATTAACAACCTTAATGTTTGAGCTACCTGCAACAGCTAACTCACACAGCTAGACACTTCAGAAGCTAAGGAACTAGACATCGGAAGGGGAAGACCAACGACTCCATAACATATTGATATCAGCTGGATGTTTTTCTAAGATTCGAGAAATTGAAGCACAACCTAATGTTCCCATGACAGAAATAAGCATACCCAGATCATGAATTGTAGCAAATTGAACCCAGATCTGAGAAAAACTAGACAATCTTAGAATCCCTTCTATAACAGAAAATGAAACGCACCGAGCATCGTCTCGTCCTTGTGATCCTGAATGGAGATGAGATCATATGAGAAGTGGAAATCTTCGAAAGTGATACTATTGCTTCCTCCGTCACCAACGACGACCGTAGTAGAGACTGAGGAATGCGCCGACTGGGGAGTGCTTTTGACAGTTCTCTATTTCACCGTAGCTCCGAGGATAGGATAGGTCCAGGTGCACTCGATCTAGAAATCTCAGGAGCTCTCTCCTCTATGTGGTGCGCAACGTTGAGAGGGACAAGAAGCTTGTGAGTCGGGATGGAGGCGAGAACTGGTAAGTCGTCGGTTAGGCTTGCTAGTAAGTCGGCCACCGCCGAGAAGAGATCGGGTCGTGGTGTGTGGTGGTGAGAACTGAAAAGTGAAAAGCCTCGCTGAACTGTTGGTGGGCGACCTTCCATGTAGGGATTTAGCGGTTTGCGGTTTCGAACCTCAACCGCGCGGTTTTGGTCGGCTCGTATCGCAAAACCACGAACTGCTTAATAATTAAACCATAAATGAAACCGCAATCTTAACGATACGGTTTGGGCTGACTGCACAAGCGATTTGGAGCGGGCAGAGCGGTTTGGACCGCACCAATGCCCACCCCTAGTAACAACCTAAAATCCTTTTGCACCTAACAATAAAAAAGCCGATATCCTAATCACCTCAGATCATGATGCTCCTATTACTTGCACCTTGAATGAAATTATCAATACTAGTCATTATAAGCACACGTACTCAAGACCCACAAATTTCTGATCTCCCAAACACCACACATGACATATAAATTACAAATTTGATTTGAGATATTAGACACGAGCAATAAAACAAATGCAAAGAGAACATCAAAGTTAACATACATGAATAATGTAAGAAGACTACGACAGTGATAAAGTTAACTAACTAGTTTTGTGCCCGCCCGATAGGCGGCGAGTTACATTTGTTTGTACCTTTACTTCTATTATATATCATTTTGCCAATGGTATCGGACTGCTAATTTTTATATTTATTTATTATTGTTATCTATCATCCGTGTTTCATCATATGAGGGAGGCTTTGAATAAAAAAAGATATGAGGGGCGTTACATTTAATCAAGGTTTTAATCATGATCAACAATAATGTCAAACAACATTGTAACTTCATCACTGCTTGGAAAATAGTATTCATACCATCTAATCTTTGATTGACCTGCAATTTTCAACTTCATGAGTTGTGCATGGTTTAAGCTAGCGCACGCCACCTTACCGTTCTCATTTCGAGTTTTGCTATTTAGACCATTAATTAACGGAGTTTGGGACATGATACTATACCATAGTCTCTAATGGGCGAACCTCATTCTCTAATTCTCAATCCAAATCGTAAGATTCATTTAATACAAAAATAATAACCAAGGGTTATTATTTTTCAAAATATATTAAAGAGCAACTAATAGGTGTGAACGAAGGTGTATATTACTCCTTGATTGTATGCTAGCCTTTTCCACCATTATATTAAAGTACAACCAAACTTCCTATGCTTCTATATTACCTTCAACATTTTATGAATGATATCAAATCAAAATGTTAGTTATAGAGACACTTTGTCTTCACTTCACATTATCATCCAATATTAAATGTGTGACTGGTTGTAATTGGAATTGTGTGATAACTTAATACAAACATAAAGGCGCCATGTTGTGCAATTAGTACAATAGATGAATTTATAGGAAATTGATCAGGGTATGATCTTGCGTTGGTTTTACAGGACACCGGTTCGTGTATGCCCTACACTGTTATACAGGATATCGGTCGGGGTATGATCCCGTAGTGGATTTACAGAACACCAGTCTAGCTACGATCCACGATGGTGTACATTACATCTAATGTAATATCCGGAGAGTGTATGACTTGGCAAATTAAGAAGTAAAAAGCACTGAATCAACCTAACCATGCATGTGTGATTGAATTCTTGTGTAAAGATTACTTATGATGTGGTTAAGTGATGACTTCCTATGATGTGATATATGTAATGTGCATGTCGATGATGATGGTTATGTGATGGTTTTTATGGTGTTTTAGACAATGATTTACCATTAGATGGTGTGATGTTTTGCTATGTTGGGACGGGGTTACATGGTAATGCTAATATGATGTGATACTTGATGCATACATGTTTATATAGTGAGTTATCAAGAGGCTGGGTGATGGTCCTTATGTTGTTAATGTATGAATTATTTGAGTTTGAGATGATGAATGTGGTATGACATGTGGTGATGAATGAATGTTTATTTGACTAAATGAGATATAGCATATTGGATGTATCTTGACAGTTTAGTTAAGCGAGTAAGAGCTGAGAGGTGGGTGACGGGAAACTGAATACTCCATATTTTGCCATGGTCACTGGAAGGGACAATAAGTCCTTTCGAGTTGTAATCTTAAAGGTAACGGAGAAGAATTATATCATTATCTTATGAGTCAGGTTATCCGGCGAGTATAAATGGTTACTAAAATAATAATAGTAATATACGTATTAGCGTGTCACATTAAGTAAGGATTAAAATAGTTATTTACATCTCAACCATTATATAAATTAAGATTTGTTTATAAATCTTTTTAAATTAAGATGCTATGCATCTGAAGATGACTCAGTTTCAAATCTACACTCTAGGAAAAAGAAAAGAATTAATGTCAAACAAAAAAAGAAAAAAATATAATTACATCAGGAAAAAAGTAAAGACGATGTGTTTTATAATTGTGCATGGAAGAAAATTCAATGACGTACGAAAATTTGAAAATAGAATGAAATTGGAATCGCATAAAAGAAAAGACAATGATATCATTTAATATGTGAGAAACGTAAAATTCATTCCCTAAAGATGAAAAATACATATGTATATGTACATTACTTTTCTTGTAACTTCTTACCAATTGAGAACAGACATATTTAAGTCATATAACCATAATTCGGTTTTGAAAAAGATACAAAAAATTTGGTGACCATTGGTGTCTGGTGATATACTTAAACACATGAAATTGTTATGTATCACTAAATTGAATTATGTTGATATATTTCATTAATCTTAAAATATAGGAATATCTCACATGAATAAGTTATTATGCCTTTGGTTTTCACTTAGCAAACCATAATTTTCACTTCGGCTATTATCTCCTAATAATCTAGTAATCACACAAAAAATGTTATTTTTCTAGTACAACGCGATAAGAGTGTATTAACTCATATATTTATAGTAGCTATTTTCTAATAAATTGCCACATAACTGTATTGGTTCACATATTTACAGTAGTTCGTACAAAAAAATGTTAAATATTTTGTGTCAGAATACGAAAGAAGGTTATTCTTTGATTTTTAGTTTTTCATTTCAAAAAATTATATGTTAAACTAGGTAAAAGTTAATAATTGGGTACCAAATAAATTCATGCTTTTTGGATTTTTTAATTATTTTTCATAAATTATACATATAATCAAACATATTATAAACTCAAAATTAAAATAGGTTATTTTTAGTTGTTAATGATTTCTATCGTTTCTTAAAAATAGAAACAAAATAATTAGAAAAGTGTTGCATTGCTTAGCAAGTGATTCCCAGAACATCATTAACAAAAACACAAAATAAGGAATCATTATTGTGGCAACATATAAGAAGTAAGAACACGAGCAAGCAATGGGAAATGAGGACAAACCTGAATGGCACATGCATTTAAATGCAAGCCAGCTGAATCTTGCATGTTCCTATTACTCACGTAGAAGTTGTTGATTGGTTGATGCACAGAGGTCAAATCTATATCCAGCTCCAGCTGCAAACTATATGGCAAAAGTAACATGAGGAAAACATGAATAAATTGCAGAGGAAGTGAACCTGGCAGAGCGAGCTCAACAAAAATGTAAAAGGAAGACCAAAAGTTAACCTTCCCCACTTGATCAACACCCACCATCGTTCATCACAGACTTGAGTTATGCACAAACCAGGCTTGAAAGGCTGCAAACAGATCACATAAAAAAATGACGACATTAAAATTCGTCTATAAACAGAAGAACATGAAATTGCAGAAGCCTAAATGGTACACAACTACATGGGTTTTGAGCTTCCAAATTGGACTCCTCATTGTTGCATTGCTCCTGTTCGCCGGTGAAGGGGTTGCCATTGTCGAACTTGCTGGAAAAAACAGCAATCTGCATCCAATTTGGGGATAAATGATATCAGGCTTTATCATCTCTACTGTAGGTGTTGGCGATTATCGCTTCCGCTACAATAACCAACCAAGCACGAAATTGGTTATTCAGCTTTAGTAGATGCACAACTGTCCCCCAACTGCTGTCTAACCCATAGCCCGTGTTCAGAAACCTATTAGAGAAGGAGTTGACGCGAGAGAGATTTCTAACTACGAATAAAAGAAGAATGAACATTCTTTCTTCTCATTCTCCTTCTTCTTCCTTGATTTTAAAAGTTAAAAAGACCCAATTTGTAGTCTAAAAAAACACCATAATCTCTACAAAACAGAGAGGGAAAAGGGGAAATCAAAATCTATTGCGGGGAAAATTGAAAGGAAACTAAAAAGTTACCCTAGACACATTTTCTACCTCTGCCAGCAAGGTATGTCGCTGCTGTTCGTCGCCGGCAAGGGTCAGGATTCCCCGATTACGACTTCTCCTTCCTCTTCCCTGGGCTGAAATTAGAGGTGGCAACTAGGATCCAAATCCATGAATCCAATCCATCCACTAAATTATCCACCAAATCCAATCCATTTAAATTCAATCCATTTGATCCAAATCCAATTGGATTGGTGGATTCATGGATCAATCCATGTATCCAAATGACAAATTACGATTTGGTACCTATATTTTTTATATTTTACATTTTGGTACCTAAAATTTACATTTTATACAAAAAATATCATTGGAAAATTACATTTTGGTACCTAAATTTTTCATTATGACATTTTAGTACCAAAACTTTTCAAATTTTACAATTTGGTCCAAGCCTTGGATATCATTTGGATTCATGGATCAATCCACCAATCCATTTGATCCAATCCATGAATCCACCAATCCATTGGATCCAATCCATTTGATCCATGGATCCACCGATCCAATCCACAAATCCACGAATCCGATACAATTGCCACCTCTAGCTGAAATCAAATAAAAAAACATATTAGAACCAGATCAAAGATAGGTGAGACCCAAAATACAAACAGAACCAAACCCAAAAAGAAGAAGCTTACCTAGGAGCAGCGGCTAGCTCACGTTGCCTCTGCTGCCTTCAGAAATCCACACCGGCGATAGGTCCTTCCTTATCCTGCAACTTGTCTGAACTCGTAAACCCAAAATTAAAAAGTCCGATTAATTAAGCAGAAACCAATAAATCAAAAAGCAAGCATACCAAAATCAAAAAGAAAGATAAATCTACAAAAGAACTTACCTAAGACGCTTATTGATAGTTGCCCCATCGCCGACGGCAGGGCATGTTTCCTCTGCCATGACAATCGCCGGCCAAGCAAACTTCGTTTTCTCTCCCCGTTCTTGCAACAACAACAAAAATACAAAATAAGAGGCAACCAGAACTCAATCGAGAAACGAAAAGCGGCTCTCACTTAAGTCGTCGTCGTTGGGACCATCACTGGCATGCATCGCCGATTTCAGAGATTTTGGAGACTACGAAGAGAGAAAAAAAGGACAACGAAGTGGATTGGGAGAGGAAGAGAACATAGCGGAAAACGTCAAACAAACCTCCTCACTAGTCCACAAAGTACAATAGTTGAAGATTAAAGCGGGATTCTTCAGACCCCCAAGCATGAAGCAAGTGCAGCTTGAGAAGGCTCTGCAAGCCATCCGTATCCCTAAGATCGTACAGAAGCTTATGAGCAGGCATGGCAAAGTGGAGAACGGCAGTAGAAGGAGAAGCAAAACAAAGCAGCGTGACGAAGCAGGAAGAGTGGAGGAGAACAAAAGGATGAAGAGGGGAACGGAGAGAGATATGAGGGATCAAACCTGGCTTCTCAAAAGAAGGGAAGCAGAGGGCTCGAAAAGCAATGCAGGTAAAGTAGAGGGAAGGCAAATGGGACGACGGCAAGAGAAGCAAAGCAGATATTTGTGCCGAATAGAAGCGACGGGAGGGGTTTCTCCGTGTCAGAAGAAGGCCAATCAGAAACAGAAACGAGAACAAGGCAAACGAATAACAGTTGTGGGATTTGACTCTAAGAACAGTTACTTGCTGCTTGTTCTTTTAAGGTAACTAGGATTTAGCCTGCGCTCCGCCGCGGGATACTAATTCTGTCATAATTTCAATGGGATTTAATATAATCTATAACCATAATCGTTATGTCCTAAATATAGACATAAATGTTGTCATAAACATAAAAACTGCGGTCATTATGCAAAAGATTGACTGGGATTGCAGAATAAACATAAATGTAGTTAGGAGTGTGTCCAAGTTTTCCACGATATATCTACTAAACTAATAAAAGTTCCATGGCGGAGACTGAAGATTCGGAAAACAGCAGGACAAAATGTTTTCAGAAGTTTCGTGCCTTTGTGGTTTGCACGATATCAAAATGGCAAGCTTCGAAGGACAACATCATTTCTCGAATGCTGATCGGTCCCAAAGGGTGAGCACTGTCGCTTTTGGTTGCATGTCTGAATCACTGTCCCCCACTTTTTTCCATGCGACGTTCAATTCCGTCGCAAATTTTTTGTTACAGTTCTTTGCGATCAATTCTATGATTTGGTCCTTCTTTAGAAACTGATAATCTGACGGTGACTTACGAATAAGTGACAGAGCTGCTTCATGCTCAAACATCACATCTATTTCAGATCCTCCTTGGCGACATTTCCCTTCCAGTTTGTATGTCAGTCTTGCAATAAAGATCTTTTTGTTAGGTTTATACAAAGAGTATTATTATCGCATGTGTAAACATGGGAGGATGGTCAAAAGCTTACCCTGTGTTCTCTTCACGAATTTTGCAGATGCTTTTTCTGTATATAAACCTTGGAATGTTAATCAATGTCATGTAAGTAACCTGTTGCATAAAATGTTAGATGTATTATACAGGTAAACAGATGGAAATATACAGCTGTTGTCAATGCTGGTGTTTGTTCGTATACCTCTGTGAAATCTGACAGGTCCTCCGTCCTTTCTTTTATCTCTCTCAGCGATTTCTTTTGCAGTTGATTGCTCAGCAGGTGTCCAGTTTTTTTGCAAGTAGCATTATCGATGAAGTAAACTGGTTTGCGACATGCAAGAAAGCTACATGTTGAAAAGAAATGTGTAAGTATCACTAACTCGATAGTGGTTGAACCAATCAGTTGGGTAAACCCATATACAGCAACTCACATGTTCATGATATCCTTGCAGCAGTCCTGATAAGAATGAATGATGAGCTTACTTGCAATTGTGAATCGAAATTCATGCTGATATTTACTGTCATGTCTAGGAGTTACTCTACTAACTGATTTGATTGTCACAATCAATGGTAACTTTGACTCCATTGCTGGAGCATGCTTTTGAAAATCATCAATGTCATGCCCACTGTATTCGACATAAGCCTTTGCCCCACTGATTGCAAAGCAATGCGTTAACTATACATTTTTACAAAGTTAAAAAAAGTGTACAATCTTAAGAGCATACCAGACATCTTGTATGACCAGGTCGAATTTCTGAATCCTTCCTTTAATTGTTTCTGGATGAGTTAGTCTTCTAACACATCCTGTAACATCTACAGATTTAATGTTTGTTATGCTTTGTTTAATGGTGTTCTTAATCATGGATAGAGAGACATATATTTACCTGAATGACAGACAAAGTCTTCTGATGTTTGAGGCACAATGGAAAAATCGGCTGCTGTGTATGATCCTACTGGAAATTGCTGGGGGTCCATATCCTTCTTCAATGTGCCTCCTAATTTGATCTGAAGTGAGGAGCAGGCGGAACTCTTGATGGACAATGCGTTGCACTGACCTTGCTGAACCTGCCACAATATCTTGTAGTTCATGCAGGCAGCCAACCTTGATTTTCTTAAAAACTTCAGCTGCATCTTCTTCTTCAACCTGAGCTTCGATCAACTTGTTCTGTAAAGTCAATGGTAGATAAATATGTTGTCAAGAGTTTTTGATCTTTTAGCATTCGCCAGTAGGTTAATTGATGTTTAGGTTTGTATATTGGCAAGTTCTTTTGTCTTAACACTGAATCAAATGCTCTGACGAATATTTATGAATATGGTTGGGGTATCTGGACCCAAACCTTTTTGTCAAGCCAGAGCATGTGATGTGTCCTTTTCTTCCATGTGGATAAAGGCACTTCTCGGAACTCAGACCATGTAACGACATGTCTAGCTATAACGGTTCGATTGTTTGTTCCCAAACGCAATCCCCGAAAGCACATGCTTGCATCAATGGAATCTGCAACGCGAATAAAGACGAATCGATAAATAATAAATGGAACAAACTCGCATAGGAATCGAGATGCGTTTGTTGGATTTCTTTCCAGATTCAATGTATTTACCTTTCAGTTCGTTCGGGACCACACAATCGCGATCTGTAGTTTGATGCTTATTCCTCAAAGATTCCATTTTGTGTGGGTCCATGGAAGCTCACGTATCAGTTGTACTATACAACTGTTAATCTGTTGGGTAGAAGAAAGCTGCCAGTTCTTCGAGACCCTGGTTTCCCTTTTTTCTTGTATCTTGACTGCGCGGCCGATTCTAGAAGGCATAAAAAACAATCGGTAGTTTATGTAAGCTAGGGTTAACTTAGGGTAAGTCCTTTTTGGATCGATTTTTTGGGCCTTGACATCGTGTTTGGGCTCTGTATGATATGCAATGGGTTCTAACTGTTGAATCAGGCCTTTTTACAGAAAAGGCTACAATACGCTCATGCGCTGATTGTTCTGTCAAGTTGTATCAGTTGGGCTCATCGAATTTCTTTCTAAGTGCAACGCGAATAAAGTCCAAACCGATGTTAACTGATAAAAACTCATGACTACTTTCTAGCTTTGAGTTTCGAAATAAAAAACACAAAATGTGTCTCTTGTTAAGAACAACGCAAGAACTGGAAGAACAAATTTTTCCAGGCGTAAAATTCAAAAAGTTGGGAGAGTTCATAATAATCTCTTCGAGCTTCTTCGATGCTTGCAAAATTAAGCAGGTGCAATATCTGTGAAGGCTTCTGAATATACAATGTTTCTTGTGTAATTGGCTGGAATGTCCTCTTCATTTTCAATCAAGAATCTCAAACCACCTGCAGATCTTACCCTTGATGCTGCCACATAAAGCTGTCCATGACTGAATACTGGTTTAGGCAAATAGACTCCAACCTTGTCCAGCGTTTGGCCTTGGCTCTTATTTATTGTCATCCCATAACATAAACGTACTGGGAATTGCCTCCTCTTCAGTATAAAGGGCCAGCGTTTGTCTTCTACGTTGAGTACTATTCGTGGTATAACAACCTCTTTTGTGTCAAAACATCCTCCCATGATGTTTCCTACAATGATATTTTCCCCCAATTTCGTAATCAATATCCTCGTACCGTTGCATAGGCCATTTGGTGGGCTCAAATTTCTCAGCAACATGATTGGAGTGTGAACCTTAAGTCTTATTTCATGATCTGGAACACCATTGAACTGAAGAGCATTCAAAAATTCTGTTGGGTAAGTTTCAGCAAATAGCTGAGGTACCTCTGTATCAAGTTGCATAGAGTCTGAACTGTAGTAGCAACGGCAATGTCCAGGAATTTTTTGCAACATGAAGTCATTCACTTCAGTCACAACTGCATTAGTAGACGTAACGATTGCCTTTCCACTTAGGTAATCTGTGCTCATGTGTTGTTCCTCAAATGCGTCATATATGTCATTTGTGATTGACTCGATTGGATTTTTTCCAGCATATATCAAGAGTATTTGTGGTATCTCAATCCAATCTGAAGGTGTGTTTGCCATAAATGATTTTGTTGGCAGCCTTCCATCTCCCAGCGCCAGAATCCACTCACCAAAGTTCATTCCACAGCCGACCAGGTTTCTATTATCTTGTGAATCATTAAGCCTCATGTTCCTTGACAGTTTGAGCACCTTAAAAAAGGGCCACAACGATGACCTCGTGATGGATCCATCAACTGTTTGTTCCCTTCCTAAATCTGAAATTACTGGTAGAGTCTGTCTAAAATCACCACCAAAGACTACTGTTTTTCCTCCAAACAACTTGTGTTTTGGACCTGATAGTGGTATGTCCATCAAATCACAAAACGTCCTGCTTATAGCCTCAAATGCATTTCGATGTGTCATCGGTGCTTCGTCCCAAATAATCAATGAAGCTGCACGTATTAGCTCAGCTAAATGAGTACCTTTCTTTATGGAACATGTAGATGCATGGTCTATATGAAGGGGAATCTTGAACCTTGAATGAGCAGTTGTGCCGTTTGGTAGTAGTGTGGCTGCTATTCCAGATGAGGCAACAACTATAGCAATTCTGGAAAGACTTTTTAATTTTGCAATGATTGCATTGTAGAGAAAACTCTTGCCTGTTCCTCCATGGCCATATAGGAAAAATGAACTGCCAAGGTTGTTGTTGATAGAGAGAATAATGAGTGTGAAAGCCTCTAGCTATTTTGTGTTCAGTTTGCTAACCATAGTATTTGCCAGTAACCTTTGTTGATCATCATCAAAGTTAAGATGCTCATTAATCAGGGGATTTGATCCATCGTCAGGTTCTGAATCTGTCGGTCTTGGGAGATGTAATTGCTGAAGTGAAGAACCATAATTCCTCAGTAAAGTTTCCAGTTGATGTAACACCCAATTCTTAAGTCTCTCATCTGAAGGCTGGAAAGTTTTTGAGTGTAGTTGTTTACGAAGAGAATAAACATGATCTTCACTCATTAACCTCCATGAAGATTCAAATAGAGCATTAGGATCGGGTATTTCGCAGAACATCAGCATTGAAATAAATGTAGTCCGTATTATGTGTGGCATACTTGATGCTGCAATTTCTTGTAATACCTGAATCCATTCTGAAGAGTCCGACAGAAGCCCTAACTTTTGGCATGCTCTTTCGTAAGTACTACAAACCTCCCCTTGTATTGTTCTTAAATTGAGGAAGCTTGTTGCTCCTCTTACTTTGGTCAATAGCAGCCTAAGAAAGAATATATCATCACTTTCTGGAGGAACATATGCTATCCTTCCTATTGCGAAACCTCTTTTCCTTGGAGTCCATTCACTGTATTCTTCATTCCATGTAAAGGAATTTGGTA